GTGAGTGTTCGTGCAGCTGATCTTTATGCTACAGCAAGCCTCTAGGAACTAGAATTTGGGGCTGGCCACGTGCCTGATCTCCTATTTACCCTGTTGTCAGTTGTCAACCCTCTTCCCCTTTTGTCCTTGGGAAAACAAGTTTCCCTTTTTTCCATGTTGCCAGCCTTCTGCTGCAGACGTTCTTGTCTGCTTCATCTCCCTGTTGGGTCTGTCTTGTTTCTCCTGCTGGACTGCCTGATGTCTCAGGGCAGCGGTTGCTCCTGTCTCTCATCCCCTTGAAGGAAGAAGTTGAACCTTGCAGTTCTGTAGGAGACTCGTAACAAGAAGAGGTGGAGTTGGGCTTGATCTTATGAAGCGTGTGAGTACAGCCTGCCAAAAATCCACCTTTCTTGCAGGCAACAAATCCTGTAGTGGCTCCCACAAATCTTTTGTGTTGGCCACTGGTGACGTTTGTGTCCTTTTAATTACAAAAATCTGGCTAGTGCCTTTGTGCAGCTGTGGTAGAGCTCTCCTGCAAGCAGGATGACCATTTTTCACTGACATCCCGTGTACCCGTGGGGTTTATTTCCTCAGTTTGGGCTCTTTTGTGCCTGTCATGTACTGTTTCTCCGCAAAACTTGAAAAAGCCAAATGATTCCTGTTTTCCCCACTCAAAAGCTAGGCAAGATTGTGGAGTCGGTTTTTGTTTGGCATGTGTAGACCTTTGTTCAAAAATTGGCTTGCTTTCACTGGCAAGGGGATCTATCTTTCAGCCAAGCTTCCTAAAACGTGATGATGATGTTTAGCTAAGTGGTCCTCTGTTGAGATTTGTAAAGGGCTGTGAGAATTCCAACTTCTAGCAAATTTACCTTGGGCTCGGTCTTGCATGCCTCTGAGTAGCACCAAGTCCCATCTCTGTGCCCCCAGTAGCCATTCCCCAGAAGAGCCTTTTTCCTTCCCGTGCCAGAATTATGCTAATTCTACACGCAGGCTCAACAGCGTAGATAATGTTAGACTGTCAGAGATACAAATCTAATACAGTCTGACTTCAGGAGTGAATAGGCTGTTATCTAGAACTCGATAAGAACTGCTGTTTGTCTAGTAAGGAATTATCTTAACTGAGAGCCTGTTGCCTTGATGCTGAAGGACTGATTGTGCTTTTATTCGCAGCTCCATAGAATGGGAGGGGAAGAAGAGAAAGCAATGTGATCAGTAATCACGCTTGGTGGCCACAGCGCATTGATTCGTTACACCAATAGTCCTGCTCATAGACTGCAGACCTCAGAACAGGGCAATTACATCTGCAAATGATCGTTTGTGGTACTGTAACACCATCTCAGTTTGAAGCTTGGTTAGCACTCTGAAACTTAGACCTCTGCTGAGAAATACTTGTTTCTGTCTGTCCTGGGAAGCCATATGCTCCCTGAACTTTCAAGTAAGCTATGTTCTTTTATGCCTTGCCAAGGTTATCTGCTGCGGGGATTTTTAAATTGAATTAGAGCACAGGAAAGCATCAGTTGAAATTCCTCTAATAAAAGATGTATTTCAGATTTGACTCTAGACTAAGTAAGAAGTAACGGAGTTTAACTAGGAGGAGGGGAAGGGGGAAAAAGGGGCTGGTTTGCTACTTGAGCTCTGGAATTAATTGCCATGAAGCATTTGGTTGGGGGGAGGAGGACGGAAAGGCTTGTCTTGCCAGGAACCAAAGATGTCTAACCTCATCTCGTATTGACTGTTCTGTATACACCAAACGGGGCTGAGGGAAGGCTGTTCCCTAGGCCTGCCCTCTTAGATTAAAAAGTGGAAAGTGGATTGGAATTTTTTTTTTGTGGTTGTTCTTAATGCTGCGGTGGATATAAGGATGACTGTCTATATAAGGGTGAGTGTCTAGCACAGGCCCAGGCAGGGAAAGCTCAGGTTTCTTTGGCAGACCTTTGGGGAGGGGAGACCGTCCGTTGCAGGGTGTTCACCCGGTGCAGTCGGATGGCGGACAGATGGCAGGATTACCCCCGCGCAGGCTCGTTGGAGCAGTCTCTGACCCCTTGCAGTGCTTCGTTTGGGCTAAAATGCTTTGCCTTATAGACTAGTTAGTGCAGGCTGAATGATGTACCAGTGCAGCCTTCCTGTACCAGCTTGGCAGTCACTTCATGGCACCGCACTGTGCTGGGGACACGCAGACTTGGATGTGAAAGCTCTCTGGAGTAGGGATGGTCCTCGTGCCCTTTGCATAAGGGACTCTGCACTCTGCTTGCTCCTGGAAGTGCTGCTCCCGCACAGGAGAGCCTTTCTCATTTCATGGGGGAGGGATGAAGAGGAGAGTCAGCTAGCGGGAACTGCTGGTGTCCCAGAGAGGTTCTTCTCGGCAGGAAGGTTTGAGCCCAACTTCGGGGCGTAGTGAGGAGTGGAGCCCTGCCTCTGGGGCCAGGAGTTCCCTTCCAGCGAGGCAGGAAAATCTGTGGTTCATCCCACTCTTCCCCCGTGCCCAAGCCACGGCTCCTCTCTTGCTCTCTGCTGCGCTATGCTGAGGCCAGGCCGTGTGAGCTGCTGAGCCCTTCCAGTTCCCCCTCTGCACCCACCCTGCAGTGGCTGGGCAGCAGCCCCGGGCTGAGCCGAGTGCCGGGTCCACCTCAGTGGGACCAGGGTCTGATGCTCGAGCCGGTGAGATTTTCTCTGCCAAGCCTGACATCCTGCGGGTTCCGCTTCTCAGTCCAGCGTGTGACTATAACTCTGGACTGCCGGTGCTCGCCAATTATGCTGTCATGGACTTAAGTGTATTATCAGGACAAGGATGATAAGAATTCAGTCATCTGCATTTTTATACCCTAATCTTTCTCTTCATAAATAAGACCAAAGTGCATGTTATCTAATGAATTTTATTTGTTAATCACTTGGATGGCTGGAATATTTCTCCCCCTTGGGTTATATGTATATAAATGAAAATATTGTTAGTGATTTCACAAAATGGTAATTCAGAATAATGGAGAGTTAATCCTCTTTTCATTAGCGAGCCACTTCAGGACATACACTGTGGCAAATTACACTGCATTTTAAGTCGTTCTCGAGTGCTGTGCACTAGAAAAAAAACATTAAACTATTTTTGCATTGATAGAAGTAATTGTGTGGCTAATTTGGATAAGCAGCATGCATTAGGCACAGCAAAGGAATCTCTTCTTTATGCTCACTATCCACTCTACAGCTGCCAAATGGAATTTCTTACAGAGCTCTTTAGCTTTTTTTATTTTATTTTTAACAAAACAGGGAGGGAGGAAAGAAAGTGCAAGGGGAAAAAAGGAAAATCTGCCAGTCTATCCGCTGTTTAATTCAGAGAGTGAACAGCCTAGTGGCTGGAGCAGTGATATGGCAGTGAAAGATTTCCTTTCTGCACCTTGTTCTGAGTCCCTTGAACTACTCAAACTAACCCCAAATTTCCAGGGAAGCCCCGAGAAGTCACAGAACATAGTGGCCCATTTTCAAGTTTGTTCAACTGGAGGGATGTACCTCCCCCACCCCAAAATTTGTAGGGGGTTAGTTAATGCTTTTGGAAACTTTAGTCGTGAGCTCTACAGTTTGGTAATCTCACAGATGGGGGGAAAAAAATGAGGTTCATATCTAGAGGTGAACGTCAGAGCTTCGGTGGTGGTGTGTACATTTCTAATGCTGGTGTTCCAGATGTGGTGCAAGTTTCTGAGTACTTCGAGACTGAAAGCTATAGGTCATTATCTACATAACAAAATACGATGTTTCTTAATATTTTTGGCTCAGCATGCTGTGCAAGCCTTAGTGCTGTGTATAAAGATGCCAAACAATTTGGCAAGATTTATGCCTGGGAGTTGAGATCCAAGTCAGCTGTAGAGATTTAAAAAAAAAAAAAAGAAAAAAAAAAGAAAAAGAAAAGAAGGCATGAACAGAAAAGGGTTGCATTTGCCTTTGTCCTTTGCAAGGACCTACGTAGCCTCTCCCATTCTTTTCTGCACCCCTCCCTGACCCAGGGGGGTTTCTCCATCACTGCGGTTGCCCCAAGCGTATGTACTCTGGCTGCCGACTTGTAGCTGTGTTTGTGTGCCTGAAGCTGTAGATCCCCAATAAGGTCAGAGCCCAGCGGTGTGTTGGTGTGCTCTACAAACGTGCAACGGGAGAGGCTAAGCGAATAAGAGGTGGGAAGGGAAATGGAGACAGAAGACAATTTTCCTCGCTCTTTCCTTCAGAAGGAACAACTGTAATCCTGTTAGCTGTTCTGTCCTGCCTGACATAGGGCACAGGGCTTCCTTGCCTTAATGCCTGCCTCAGTCCATATTTATATAGCAGAATAGTTTAGATTCTTTACCACCCATGTTTCCTGCTCTTGGGAGTTCTCCCAGCTGGTACGACATCAGTCACCTGTGCTAGTGAGGCTTTTGATGCTGGATTCATTAAATTTAATTTGGCGTACGCAAGCGTACCAGCCTTGGTTTGGTACTCAGAGTTGTCTAAAAGCTACTTCTCCCTGAAAATACCAACCAATTGCAAACTTTTCTGGTTTAGCTGGAAATGAAAGGTTTTCAGCATCCAGAAAACACCTAAATATATAACCTATTTGTAAATGTGGAGGCAGATTTTGATCTTATTCCTGTTTTGGTGCTTTCAGATTTTGCTTCCTACCTCTTTCCTCATGACAGCTCTGAGAAAGGAGTGGAGCCGTGGTATCTTAAGGGTTGTTTTTTTTTTTTTTTCAAGATGCCAAGGGAGGGAAAGAAAATAACCAAAGCAGACTATCTGTCTGTCAGCTCTGGGCCTTTCATGAAAAGTTTACAGAAGTAATGACATTTCCAGTAGACCTTATGCCCACAGCAATGCAGTAGGGGATAAACACGGTGCCCTTGAAATTAGTCAGTGGTTTGACCCTCAAGTCCGGGGACTGAATTTATCTACTGCCATGAACACTAAATTTGAAAGAACAATAATAAAGTGGAAAAGAAACCCTGTAATTATGATTAAGAAATCATTTTTGTGCATGAAGTTCTTGTTACTGAGAAATGATTCCCATTTTCTTTTCTGATGATGTATGGAGAGCTGACTTACTTGAATGTTTTCATTTATTAGGTGGAATTCAACACCACTGAAATCAGAGGACATCTGTCTTCCAGGGGGTCCAAACCTGAGACCTTCTTGGCTTCCAGACAATTGCAGAAATACCTCTTTTGTTTTTATTTACCTATTTCTTTCAGTTTAATAACTACCTTAGATAAGACCTTCGTGGAGAAACAGCGTCTGTAACAAGTGTGTACATGAGAGGGGAGTACCTGAGAGAAGGTCAGGATGGAGAATACCAGTTCTCCTACACTTTCGAAAAAGTGTGCAAAAGGCTTGAATCCAGTTTAGTAACCTGTCTCCAGGTAAGCACTCTCTCGGTGCTGAAGGCAAACAAAAATCAGATCTAATGACGGAGGGCCTTCAGAAATAGCAAGGGAGGATCTATTAAGCAAGATCCTGAATTCTTAAGAAATGTTTTGTTCTTCCATTTCCAGCCAGCATGCCAGGTACATACCTCCCTTCAGGGTGAAAAAGTACTTACCCTTTTCGAGTATGACTAAGCAGAGGGCTGCTTTATAAACTGGAAAGTTCTCCTTGCAGAAGCCAAGGCACATGCTGTCTGGAGCGCAGTGTTTGCACTTGGGAGGAGGGTAAACAGTGCTTTGGTTTCTAAGCTTTTCATGACTCGAAGTACATCAGTTGAGCTGAGAGTTGGTTAGCTGCAGTAACAAAAGCTCGCTTTGTCGGATGATTTAAGTAAATGAATTTAAAATGGTGCTTCCTGATAAGCCAGCCCCATGACATTTTGCTCAGACTCCAAACGCTGGCGATAGCCGGGGAGAGCTATACGCTTTCCTGTGTAACCTGGCGCTTGCTGCGCCCCAGGGTACTGCCATGAAGTACGGTGCTGCAAAGGTTCCTTGGGTGGGTTCCCCCCCCCCCCCCGCTAGACCAAAAAAACTAATTTTGTACAAGTACTTCTTGGGAGGGAGGAGGAATAAGTCCTTCAAAAAAAATCTTTCTCTAAAAGAGCCCTAAAAGAATGAAGCAAAGTGTTGTACATCCAAACCTGGAAATCCCCAGGGTACCTGCAGTATACTTAAGTGAAGAATAACACGGTCCTGTGTTCCTTATTCCTGTCCTAGTCTTCACCAAAAACTGTCATTTGCTTCAGTTCCTTTATTTTACCCCTGCATTCTTATGCTTGAAGTGTTCAGGGACTGTAAAATAGTTCATCCAATGCATTCGTCTTTAAACAGTTTAAAACCAGAAGAATCATAGCCTCTGTGCAATTATTTCCCAGACCCTCCTGCTGTGAATATTCAAACCTAACCAGCTATTTCAATGAATTTCTAAGCCACTGGTGACTTTTTAAAAACTTATTTTTGCCCTCGTTCTTTATTGTTGACTGAACTGGTTAATTTAAAACAGATTAAGCTGAGATTTCATTAAGTATTATGAGAGTGCCCAAAGAAACTTAAAACACAGCGTCATCTGAAAGAATTGTAATTCAATTGGAAAAGTTAGATTTGACTTGAGGGTGGAGCAATTATCAAAGAATAAGCAAAATATTCTGGGACAGATGTTACAAAAGCTTGAAAATTTGCATTTTTATTCCTAACTTTTAAAATTATCTCTAAGATAAATACATTTTTGACACCTCATTTCCTATTTTATAAAGTTATTTCTGTAACATGACCGATTTGTTCTTTAAAAAATTATACTTTCAAAACCTCTTTGACTCTTCAATAGTGTTAAGCTTCTTTTTTTTTTTTTTCCCCTCTGCAACAAGTTTACGAAGTTGTCAGTTACCTTGGAAAGTTTGCCAGCCCTCAGTCCTCTCCCTGGTTTACTAAGTTAGGTTATAAAAGGAAGAAAAGGAGCACAAGAAGTACAGCAGAAAATGTATATTGCTTAGCCTTACCTGTAAGCTTAGGTGGGTGCTCTAGGTAGCTGGGTCCTGTGAAGTGCAGCAGAACGACAAAAGAAATCTTACCAACTTTGCAACTAGTGTCTATTTTTAGAGGAGGATTTGCTGACTCTGACCTTGAGTGCTACCCACTCCAAAGGATGATCTTTACATCTGCTGGTAAGACTATTCCCTAATGTGACCTGAAACATTAAACCTGGCAATTTAGCTACCTAGCCTCAGTATGACTAAGATAACGTGATGCCTGCGTGTTGACAATAATAAAACAAAATTCATCTTTTATCTTCTTATCCCCTTGTCAAGCCCGATGCTATGTGGGTTAGGAGCGTTGCACTGCTGTTTTCTGTCATGCTGTGCACAAGTGATTTGGCACTGGCACAATGAGCAACGGGAGAGGTGGCATCCTGACAAGATCCTCATCTCTCGCATGTGCTCCACCAGAAAGCCACCTTCCCTTACCTACTGTCTTCGTTTTCTCCAGTGCTGCCACTCTCCGTATCCATCTGACTTCTGAAATGCCTTTCTCTGCTGAGAAAGTGATATGGTGCTCAGCCTTGCTCAGCTCTGGTGACATGGGCACAGCTTGCCAAAAAGAGGCGGAGGTACACTCTCCAACCTTTAAAAAACTCCCTACTTTCCTAAAAACTTTTCCTGAAAAGCTCCATGCTTTCCTATTGCAGAAAGTCTAAAACTCTCTGTAGTAAGCCACGGCCAGACTCATCAGAGATCAAATCTGGGTTCCCCGGTGTCAGAGCCACACCTCTTCCACTCCAGCACATTGTCCGCTGCGAGAGCGGTGACCTTCATGGCCCACAGGGCTGTCTGCTAGAGGGATCAGTGACCACACGCGAGGAGCTGGTAGACAATATCCTCTCTCCAAGCGTTTGTTCTGCAGCAAGCCATTCCCTCAGTGTTGCCAACTCAGACAACTTCATTAGGAGTAATGAGATTTCAGTGCTGCGGTAGCCAGGCTTGCAATGGCATAAGAAGCTCTAGCTGTCACGTGAGTATTGATATTTCTCAGGGGAAATTCTTCAGATCCATTGCCTTCTGCCTGGGAGTGGGAGGAGGAGGCAAAGAGATCGGTCAGGACAAGTGCGTGATACCGGGAAGTAGCCCGTTGGTCTCTGCACCTGCTTTTTGGGGCGTCCCGGCCCCTTCTGTTGAGATGACCATCTTGGACATGATCTCTCCGAGCAGACCTGTATGCGCTGCTTGCCTATCTTGCTGGCTCACAGCGCTCCCTATTCTCACCCCAGCGCGTGCAAAAAGCAGCCAGTTGTTGATGTGTACCCACCGTGGAACTTTTTTCATCTCTTGCAAGAACAGAAACAGTCTTCTGTGACTGCAAATGCCAGTGCCTGACCAAAGTTTCAGGTTGCCCAAGAGTGTTTTCCAAAGTATCCAAGTCCCATGGTAGGTGCCATTAATTTTCAGTGGGACACAAGTTCCCGACTATGTCAGTTATTTTTAATGTTACTTCAAATCCTTCCAACCACCTTTGTCATCCCCTGTCTGTTTAAAAGATAGAAGTTGATCCCAGAAGGACCAGGACCAGGCTTGGTCATGGCCCGTGGCTAATACTGCAGTACAGATGTGAAGTAATAACAAACAGTTTCAGTTCAAGTTCTGGGCATTGGATCTGCTGCTGTTTCATGCTAACAGCATCACTCTAGCCAAGTTTCTGTATTACAGAGCAGTGAAACTCCTCCCTGCCAATTTTTCAGATAGCCGCTCTTAAAATGAGAAAGAGCTTAGATGTTAGAAACCTGCTGTGCCTTCTAAGTTACCTTGGAAGGTTGTTGTGCAAATTAATTCTATACTGATAACAGAGAAACTTTGTGGAGGAGGAGATACAGACCCCATATAACAGAAACTAGCAGCAGTTTTATTTTTATCCCTGCAGGCGACCTAGTATGGGGGAATATGGGTAAGACGATACAGCAGACGGGCAGTGCTGGCGAGAGGAGGCTATGTAAGGTGTGCGGCGGAAGGTCTGTGCGCCCCGGGTGGCACGGCGTGGGGATAGGCAGGGGTCTGTTGCTTCTCTTGGGCTGTCACTCCCCAGGGTTGTCTTTCTGATGTCAGATCGATGGCATGCCAATGTTTTGTGGTATTGTTTTTTCAGGCTGGCATTTTGAGTTCCAGGAATATTAGCTGAAACAGAAGTATTTGTTTGTCTGCCTGGCTGTCAAAACAGTACGAGCCCTTGTGCCTCTCTCTCTGTAGGGTCCCAAGTACATGTAGGGAGGGATCGTTCACCTCCTGGAAAAATGTTCTATTTTTGGGACCAGTTGTGTGTGTTTCCATTAGTTTTGCTTTTGTTAAGTAAAAAAATACTAGCTGCTGAGAAGTTTTGAGAGTGGCCAATGACTTAGAGTGCTTTGGAGCCTGGACACATAGGAAACGCAGCAGGAAGGCTCTTATTTTGGAAGAGGTAAGCATCTGCCCTCTGGAAAGTTGAATAGTTGCCTTGGGCTCCTAAAAGCAGATGTTTGCCATGTTATTGGTCATTTCTGAAAATCTTGGCTAAGCTGACGGTGGTGCTTTGAACATGCAGATCACTCCCCCTTCCTGGAGCCTTGCATGCATTCAGCCGGCTCTTCTTCAGCCTGCAGGTCCCTGCTGTCCATGGCTGGCTCCTGTGTGCGGTCACCCACTGGCCCCACGTGCCTGTCTCAGCAAAGTGACTGCACCAGGCCCAGAACATGACCCTGGGCAAAATTCATTATCCCTTTTATTTTTCATGTGTATTCTGAAAGTGTCAAAGGGCCAACCAAGATCAGCGCCAGGCACTGTTCGGATGCATGATAAAAGGCAGTTCCTACCCTTGAGACCTGATGTTCCAGATAGAAGAGACAAAGGCTTAGCTGGGAAAAGGGATGACGCCCAAGCAGAATGAGCAAGACCGTGGCGAAAAAAATGCCACCGACCAGCTTTGTAGGTGGGAGTTTCTGTGGCATCAGAGTATGGAGCTGTGGGAAGGATGAGAGCTCAAGTCCCATTCAGGAGGGAGGTGGTGGGAAGAGAGGAAAAAACAAAAAGGTTTGTTTGTTTGTTTGTTTTTAAATCTTAGGACTGAATTTCTTCCACAAACACTGCGTAAAGAAAAGGAGAAGGGAGAGAAATGATAGATTTCTGGCCAGACCACACTAGAGGTACAGTTGGAAAAATCTGACACTGTTTTCTAAGGCTTGAAATTTTTATGTTAGTTTAAAATAAAAGCTTTGAGTAAAGTTCTGCTTTAGAAGACTTCCCTACCCCATTCCAACCTGGTGGACTAGAAGATTTCCTCTTTGCTACAAAATATGCTATTATTTGGAAAAGCTGGGTTTTTAACAATTGCATGGGAAGAATAAGTGTATAATTATATAAGATTGTCCTAATGGACATTTGCAGCTGTACCGAGATGCTAACAGCATGCAGAAACCATTATGTTTCCAGTTGTTTGGCAAAAGTTAAGAAACCTTATATATATATTTTAAAGTTAACCATAAAGTAAATCCAGATGGTTCTCTCTTGCACAGACAAGCAGTCTTCAAACTAGACATATAGCTGTAGCCTGGCTATAACTTGTTTTGATTACTGCAGATGGAGAGAAATGTTCTAAATGACTGTGCACCCTCCTCACAAAATGCTGTGTGCCCTTGATTCTTGCTGAAGTCAACTGGCATTTAAGCAGCACTACATAAAACTTGTTTGACAACACCTTGCGCGCATGAGTATCTAGCTGGGCGTTACTTGTTTAATTTCTCTTTGTACTGAAGTTTTGCTTAATGGCCCCCATCAGGGGTTGGGGCTCTGCTGAGGCAGGCGTTGCAGACCCATAAAGCAAAAAGGACAGTCATTGCCTTCGGTAACCTACCATTTGAGCTTGAGTTTGTTCTTCTCTCTTCATCTCCGAGTTAAGGATTACCAGAAAATGGTGGTGGTATGCTTATTTTTGATGCATTCAGAGTTTTATTTGATTCTTCAATAAGCATTGTCTGTTGCGTTCATTACTGTATTTCAGTTAGACGTCCGTGGTGCTAGCTTCTATCAGCAGGGGAATCAGAATTATGTTGACTCGTGAGACCATTCTGCAAATCAAATCAAAGGGGCAGCTTTGCTTCACAGGGCAAGGATTTCAGTGTCTGAATGTTTTAAGTCCACACGTTAGGAGCATTTCTGAAATTCTGAAAATAGGGGGAACTGAAAGGTCCATCAGGAATGATAGACTTATGGTACGTTACTTTTTATGTGGTTTTTCTTAGTCAATAAGCAAGTGTTCTTGTAGATAACAGTTGATGTTGTTTGTCCAAGTAGTATAACAGGTAGAAATAGTGGTTTATGAGCTTCTTAGGCAGTATTGTCAGGAGGGTAACTTGGATTTGACCCGGTAGGAGTCAAATTTACTGGCTGGTGCCTCTCTTGCTACGACTCCGACAGGGCTAACAGCCCAGCAGTAGTGGCTGTGTTTATAAGACAGTATTTGAGGGTAGGGACGAAGCAAGCTCCTGGGGGCTAGGAAGGAAGAACCCCAGTCCTGAACGAGGTTCCCTGGCCTTCCCTGGGCTTGTGGGGGGAGGCTGGGGCCGGGGCTCTGAAAGGGGTTTTGTTCACTGTTCTGTTTTTTCTCTCGCTGTCAGCAGAAAAAACGTTCTGGGAGATTTGTGTTCAAGTGGAGTATAGATCCCAAGGCACCCTAATGTGGAAAATAAGGGATGAGGGCTTTCTTGTAACCTGCCCTTACCGAAGAATGCTGGGAACAGGAAGGCCCTGGGGCCCCAAACTGCTTACCCCCCTGTTTCTTGGTCGGTGCTAAGAGGAAGCCCTGCGAGAAGAGCACCTACCGGAGAAATCCTACGGAGAGGGGGTGTTAACCAGTGAGTACACCATTTTGTGCTGTGCAGGGCATGCTGACGTGCTCCTGAGTTCCAAAAATCGGGCACCTCCAATCGTTCATAGCATTTAAACTGCCCTGCAAGGAAAATGGCATTGCCAAAATTCAAGGTGTTTTTGTCCCTAACATACCACAGTATCACACACAGGATTGCGCTTAAATTCTCTTGATGACAAGTTGGGAAACTGCCACAGTCTATTTCTACTCTTATCCCAGTGAACGATAAGAAGGTTTTTTTCTT